AAAATTAAATTAAATTGAAATTAATTTTATTTTTTAAATTTACAATTTTCTTTGAATTTGTAAGGATTAAATGTAAATTGTCTTCGTGACTTTCTTGAAATTTTTTTTTCTTTTATTTTCTATTTTTTTGTGATTTAGAAATTAAGTTTAATTGTGTAAATCTTTACTATTTTCCGGTGTTTTAACTGTAATTTTAAATTAAATACTTAATTGTAATTAAGGTTGTAGTGAGGAATTTGTTTGAGGTATAAATGGGAAACTGGTGCGTGAAGTGTAATAAAAGTTTAAATTATTGATGAAAAATTGCAAAATGTTGCCTTTACTTTGTATTTTATTATATAAAAAATGCAATATTTTTTTATACAGTTAACATATTTGAAAAGTTTATGAGCTGTTTACAATATTGCTTGTTCGTGGATTTTTTTTTGCATAATTTTGATTTTTAAATAAATTAACACGAAATTTATTGAAATAATTCTAAAGTAGAAAGTCATTGGGAAGTTTGAGAACTAATCTTTAAAAGAGAAGCTCATGAGAGGTTTCTGGACTTCAGTTTACAGAGGAGAAGCTCATGAGAGGTTTGTGGACTTCAGTTCCAAAGAAGAAGATCATGAGAGGTTTCTGGTCTTCAGTTCCAAAGAAGAAGATCATGAGAGGTTTGTGGATTTCAGTTTCCAAAGGAGAAGCTCACGAGAAATTTGGCATTCAACGGAGAAGTTTGAACTCTATAAAGTGCTACCAAATTTTAAAAAACTTGGCAAAAATCTAAGATAAACATAAAAAGTAAGCTGTACACATTATTAAATCATGCAGAAACACGTCATTTTTCCTACATAGTTGAGAATTTTATCCACTTCTTAACAAGAGCATCTTCTTCCTGTGGACAAATTTCTCCACAACTTTTTTTTTATTAATATTTTTAAAAATAAATTATTTTCTGAAAAATATTAATTGAGTTTTTTCAGAAAATTACAATTTACCGAGTATAATAAAGAAATAATCATTTGGAAATGATCACATTACAAACAAGAGCTGATCATTTCCAGTTGGAAAGTGATTAAGTTTATTACTTAGAAATGAAGAAGTAATTGTTTCCAAAATGATTACTTCTTTGCAATATAATAAAAGAAAGAAAAAAAAAAGGAAAGAAGTAATCAACTTCAAACTAACTTCTTATATAAGAAAATTAATGTTTGAATTTTTTATTTGTATTTTCTTTTTTTTGAAAATAAATTTAATTACTTTAACTCCTAAATTATTTATTATATTATTATTTTTTTTACAGTTATATTCCGCTTCTTGGTTATTATTTTTATAAAATATTTATTTGTTTTAGTTTCTAAATTAATTGTTTTTAATTTAATTTTCTTTAAATATCATTAATAAAACGTATATATTTAAGGTAGAAAAATTATTCCTTTACTTTCTTCTCTCTTAAATATCCTTTATATCCTTTTCCTTGAAGGAAATTTAGTGTTTTTAATGGAGAGAAAATAAAAGTTTCGAGGATTTTGAACGATAATTAAGGAAGAAAAATAAAGGAATCAAGGATTTTAAAGGCTATTAAGGATTTTATCTACTTATAAAGTTCGAAAACTGAAGCAATTTCAGTTGTCCTTACGTTCTATTGATTTGTTACTCCACAAAAACCTAAATAATTTTTGAAAAAAGTTTAAAATTCTGTAAATAAATAGTTAGTAAATTCAAAAATTTAACATTTCACTTTTGTTTTATTGCATTTTATCGAGTTCTTCTCACGCTAAACATCCCTAGAGACGTTAATGTCAAGTCTGATCTACTACAAATAGAAGAAGATGAGGGGGAAGGAGCAGTAAAAGTTGGAATTAACTCAACAGAATCAATTTAAATGGATGTAGAGAGCTAAGAAACAGCGTGAGACGAATGAGAAAATAATAAGAACCCAATAAAAATGATATAAAAAGATCTTTACTCTTCTATATTTTAATTCAATTTTTTTTTTTATAGTGTAAGGTTAATCTTACTGATGATGATTGATAGGATTTTTAAGTAAATAATTATTTATTTTTTCTTTATTCTATTGTTCTCTATTTTTTAGGGCCACCGAGATTATTACCCCAAGCACGTGACACGCACAAAATAGTACCAGAAGGCACCAATGTCCACCTGCCGTGTCCTGTAGATGGTGACCCAGATAATCTCTTCTTCCAATGGTATAAAGGAAAGGAGCAATTAAGTATGTTCGACACAGACAGGTTTCGAGTAACATCCGGAGGAACCTTGAAGATCAAAGATACTGTTGCTGATGACACGGGATTGTATGTTTGTCGTGTTGTTAATGGTTTCGGCATTGTCCAATTCAACATTTCTCTTATTGTTCTAAGTAAGGATAATTTTTCAATCATTTTTAAATCAATTTTTTTTTTTTGAGGATTTCATCTTTAACGATGTAAATTTATGAGATTCTTAAAATTTTGGTTTATGTCTTGTGGTTAATACACGAGGTTATACTATAGAACCATTGCCGTGACTTAGGGAGGTCATTCAATAGTTCGTACCTAATTCCTGACGTTATGCCAATGGTTCAAACCCAATTAACTAAGTCAAGTAACAACATAAATTTCTGGCGTTTTGGGGGTACTGATTCATGCCCTGTGGTTAATACACAAAGTCATGGCATGGAACCATTGGAGTGACTTAGGGAGGTCATTCAATGGTTCATATCCAATCCTGAGGTCATGCCAATGGTTCCTATCGAAGTCAGGCAAAAAAAAGTAACTTTTATTATTATAAAATGCTTATTAATATAAGAAAACATAAAAAAAATCTCTTATCTAATGCTGCAATCAACAGCTGCTGACTTCACGGGAGCGCATCTTTAATTACGTAAAAAAACAAGATTTTTTTTCATTATAATTTAAAATTAAACTAAAATAACTAAATTACAATTAAAATCTATTACATTTATAATTATTTTCTATTATTTTTATGTATATAAACACCATAAAATTTTTTTTAAATAAGCAATTTTTTACTAAAAGAATTTGAAATTTCACGTAATTTTATTTATAAAAAAAAAACAAATATTGTTTATAACTTTGAGCATTTTAAAATAAAATAAATATTTAAAAAAAACATCTTAAAATACATATTTATTTTACGGTTCATTCACCATTCTTTAAATAAATTTATATCTGTAAATATTCCATAAAAATAGAAAATATGCTGGAGGGATTGTTGATGTAACTTACAACCAACTTTCTGAATTTTAAAACAATAAAGTAATGGGGAATAATGTTTATCTCTGTATGAGTTTCACTCTTTAATAACAAGTTTTAAGTATGACGTAAAGCGGATTTATCCCTAAGGGTAGTAATTGCTAAAGTTTTGATTATGGAATTTTCAGCATCAATGATTAAATATTCAATATCTTTAATGTTTATTTAAGTTTTAAAATGGCCTTAAAATTTTATATTCCATTTTAAAAATAAACATTCATCATATATTCTCCTAGTAAACATCCGTAGAATACATTTAATTGAAGGCATTTTTCGTGAAGTGTTCCAGGGGGGAGGGCATTAAGAAGTAAAGAAGAACTAAATTCTAAGAAGGAACTAATGTTAACTTATGAGAACATCAACTCCATAGTTCACTGGAGGCATTACAAATGCATGAATGTCCCGCATATTTCCTTGCTGACCTTCAAAGGAGAGGGTCGTGTCATCGGTTGTGTCGTTTTATGGCATCATCTGATGGCCGATGAACTGAGATAAGAGGAAGTTAAATGTTTTAAAAAGTCTAGTTTAATGCATGAAGATGATGATTTATTTTATTTTATATATATATTTTTTTCCCTGTATTTTTCTCTAATTTTCTGGTTTTTAATCTCGGAATTACGCACACAACTGATCGGTGATAATTTACATTTAGATGGTTATTAATTAGAAATTACTACTTCCAGTTCGAAAGGAATGTTGATAATTGAGCAAAAAGATGACGATTTTTTATTTGGTTTTTGTTATAAACACTAAGATTTATTCATATTTAATTTTCGGGTACGTTTATAACCATTAAAAAAACACGTTTATTGCTCAAGTTAAAATGTTAATTTGATCAAGTTTTTAATGTCTTCTCGAGGATTAATATGCATTTTTATCGTTTCTTATCCAGTTTTTAGTTGGATTTCTTTAATTTTTATTTTCCTTGAGGCCCTAGGCGTAATTTTGTTATGTGGTCCCTATATGTAAAAGTGTTTTTTTTTTTTATATTAAAAAGGTAATAAAATATCTAGATAATAAGATTTTCATTTTAATCATAATTTAATAGTAAATTTTTAGATGCATGTTATCTTTTAGCTACGTAAATTTTAAGGCCCCCTCTAGACGTCAAGGCCCTAGGCGCGCGCCTAATTGCACCTAGCAGATAATTTACCACTGTTTGAAGTACATTTTTCTCTCTTGTTTTAATTTTTTAACATTAAATTCAAAATTTCTTAATACATTTTTAGATGCATGTTATCTTTTAGCTATGTAAATTTTAAGGCCCCCTCCAGACGTCGAGGCCCTAGGCGCGCGCTTAATTGCGTCTAGTAGATAATTTACCACTGTTTGAAGTACATTTTTCTCTCTTGTTTTAATTTTTTAACATTAAATTCAAAATTTCTTAATACTTAACTCGACAAATATCTCTTTTAAACGTTACAGTACATTATCCTAAAGTTAAATCACAAAAAATTTAGAAAAAATGAAAGAATTCGATTGAAAATTCTTAATACTGTACCATCTTATCAAAAATACTATTTTCTAACCCAGCCATAAAATATTCTTAGTTTTGTATGTCAAGATATGCCTTAAACTTTAAAAGCCAGGAAATATTCTCTAGATATTTTACGAAATATTTAAAATTATAAGGAACGAAGATAAAGAAATTTCCACTTAAATCAGCATCAATAACCAGACCCATTTGACGAAGTTTATTTAGACGAATAGGGAGATCCTTCAAGCATCCAAACATGAAAGGAGAAGCGACGGTCCATGAGAATTGTCAACTCCAACTTGTGCATTCGTATGCTAATCTAGGGCAGGGTAGTGCTTAATTTACTTCAACTTCCTTTTTTTCCTTTTTATTTTATTTTTTTATATATTTTTTTTCACTACTTCCCTTCTGCGTCGTCTGGTTTTCTATCTTCTTAGAATGGTCCCCCCTCCATTTCTATACTCGTGTATATGTGTGTGTGTGACGGAGTGTAATTCTTTCGTATTTTTCTGCCTCCCAGCACTTTTTTTTTTACTGATTGCAGATATCTTTACATCAGATATATAGGGGTTGATTTTAATATTTCCATGACTTATGTGTCCTCGACTTTATCTGACATTTCTGACAGCTCTTGTTGAGGGAGTTGCAATATCTTTGAGAAGTATGTGGCATACCAAAACTTCACTTCAATAAAACTACAAATCCGAGCAAATGTTGTTTCGAAGTTGAAAGTTCTTGCAATCTGAGTGTTGACGTTTCCTTGTGTTTACTTCCAAATATCTACAAAATCTCGACTTTTGATGCTGTATTGATTCCCCCCCCTTATCCCTTCTTCCTTCGAGAATAGCTTTCGTTAGTGAAAGAAACAGCTGTTTTTATGAGATTATAGCGAAATATCCCTTCTGTTTTTTTTAATTTATCGTGCTTTAATGATTATTCTAAACGTCTAAACGTTAAAAAAAGTATTAAGAATTTAATAAAATAGAGTTGTAAATAGTACTAGCGCTTATACCATTTATGTTGTGAGTATGAAGAGTAGTTATTGTATTTAACTACGTTAAATCGGTTATTTTCTGTATTTCACTACGTTATTTCGGGTGTTTACTGTATGAAGATTCGACCGTATTAAATACAATCGACTAATTATTCGATTTAGTGAACAATTTTGCTATTTCCTACAATTTTTTACGTATACAATTTAGCTTTCTCTAGTTCATTATATCGAGGTCTAATGTATTTAAATATATATATAAAATTATACATATTTTTACAGGTTAAACACGTTTAAACATTTTAATGCTAATAATAATTGCTAGCAATTTACTGCTCGTTGAATACTTTCACATAATCCCGCATTTAATTACCATTATTTTTATTAAATTGATATAATGCCAGTAACATTTTTTTTTATTACTGTAATAGCACACAATGAGTTATCATTAAATTATATACTTGCTTTCAATTACCACAATAACTTTCATGATAAACCAGTCCACATAATGACCTAAGGATAACAATAAAAATCCTTGATTATTTTATTTATATATATATATTTATAAATATAATTAAATTTATTTCTCCTTTTTGTAATTTAATTTCTGCATAAATTTCTTCGTGCCACTTAATAACCGGAATGTTTTTCTTTACCTTTATTTCCCCCTCCCATCTTTAGAGGTACTTTGTCCAACGCTTTACTTTTTAACAGCATAATTCATCAATAAACTTGATTATGAGAATTATCTTGTAAATTGAATTATAGTGCCATATTTGACGTCATAAATTTCCATTAATGTAATCTTTAACTAATAAATCGAAGAGAAGTGCAAATAAATCAGCAGTAAGTAAATTTTTGATGATATTCAGCCAAAGAGAAAGAGGAAAGAGAAAGAGAGAAAGCAACTCGGTAGGAACCTTATGCTCTACGTTTATTAATACTTAATAAGACTCTGTTTTCAATTATTCTTGTAGTAGTAGATAGTTTCTTGTGCATCACAACCTGTACTTGCTTTTTTCGTCAGGATGTTGTTACCAAGGTAATAGATCCCTGTTCTTTCTAATGTGTCATTAGTGGGATTGTATAGCGCAGATGGCAACATAGTTCAATTACATCTGCAATGTTAGTATGTGGTTTTATTTTTTGGGATTTCTTGATCAATTTTTAAACTTACCTTCTACTGCTCCCGTTTTTCTTTGGAAAGGTATATTTTTCTGTATACCTGTTATATTTTATTTTTGATTGGCGGAAACAGACTATCCCTTCATCGAGGGAAAAATCCCGAATTGAGGGGAAAACTACCCTGCTCTAAAGGAAAAGAACTGAAGGAGAAATAACTACCTTTCATCGAAGAGAAAACTGCCTCTGCATCAAGTAGGAAACAAATTACTCTTAGACTGTGGGAGAGACGACTCCCTCTGAACCAAGAAGGTAAAGTGCTCCTGCACCAAATACAGAAACAACTATCCTGGTCTAAGGGGAACAACTGAGGAAGGAACAACTGTCCTGAACCAAGAGGGTAAACTTCTCCTGCATCAAGTACAGAAAAAATGCCCGTGCTCTAAGGGAAACTGAGAAAGAAACAACTGCCACTGCACCAAGAGGGAAATTGATCCTGTATAAAGTAGGGAACA